TAACATGGTTATATTGACATTAGCCGTGTTAGCAATCTAGTATGATATGTAGAAGTCTGTGCTATACAGGGTAATTCAGAAATATTTATCTAAACTTTAAGGGTGAGTTCTTCGCACATAAACAAGAAAAAAATGTCATATATATATGTCTGGTAATACCTGGTTTATGAGTTATAATCGAAAGATTACATTCAATTCAGTACCATGGCCTGACCTAAATCCATTAGATTTTTATCTGTAGGGATACTTAAAAGCCCTAGTTTATGCAACTGAAATTGCAAATGAAGAGACGGTTCATCAACGCATCAAAGATGCCTGTGAAACCATTTGCAATCATCATGGGATCTTTGAAAGGGTGTGACAGTCCATGATCCGATGTGTCCATGTGTGCACTGAAGCAGGTGGAGGACATTATGAATATTTATTGTGAATTGTAAGTAGATAAATAATTGAACTGTGTGTGTGTGAAGATATATTACATTGGTCATGTGTCATTATAGATATATTCTGTCAGTTTTTGTCGTTGAAATCTTTCATTTATAACTCATATACCAGACATTACCGGACATATGTGTATATGGATTTTTTTCTTGTATATGTATGGAGAACTCACTCCTAAAGTTCGTATAAGTATTTCTGAATCACTCTGCATATAACCCAATATATTTTGTCCTCCTTTATGGCTATCTTTACATCACCTTTAACATTGTTGTTAGAGGTCCATAATATATAGAAATCTATGACATTCAATCAACAATAAGTAATTCCTTAAAAAAAATGCAATTATATTTATCCGTGCATTGCTATATTAAAAAAAAAAAAATGAGGTCATTTTTGTGACAATCATTGTTTTGTTATTCAATTTTTTTCTCTACCATTTTTTTTGCATTGTTAATCAAGAAAATTATAATAGACCAATTATTATAGATTATCCTGTATGTATATTAAATACAGAATTAAGTTGTATCACAAAGTACCATAATTTATCTTACAAAATATATATATAGTTATGATATTAGATTATACATATATAAAAATCTAATATTAGGAGTAAAATATCTTCCATGTATAAAAATAATGATTTCCTTCATAAATTACATAATCTTGATTAAAAGTAACAAAACAAATTTTAAGAACTATGCCTCTATGTAAGAGTTTTCAAAAAAAAAATTATGCTTTATTAATCAAGGCCATGTTTCAAAATTCACTGCCTACTGAAAATCTATAGTTCACAAAGTAACACATATATTATAGACTTTCAGTACTGACAGTGAATTTTAGAACACAGCTCAGATTTAATCAAAAACAAAAGAAGTCCCAAGTTTTATGTAAATCATTCATTTATCTATATAATAAAACTGATTGTATAATAAATAATAGAATAAATTTTTATTTGTTTTATACATTAACATAAAAAATTATGCTTTTAGATTTAGAATTTTATGTAATTTATTGAAACATGTAACTATTAAGTTTATTTAATTCTTAGTATTGCAATGAGATAAATAAAAAAATATTGCTAGCATTTTAGCACAATATGTATCAATTAGTACTTATACAGTTATCAATTATTACATATAAAATTATATCATATGCAAGCTGCTTACCTGCAAAGACTATGTTGACGCCAAGGGCTTGTGTAAACCGCAGATATGTCCGTCCAAGTTCATAAACACAAATATGAAGAATATCACTGATGTCGATAAGCATAATAGGATGAAGAACTATATAAACTGTTAAGAATTTATATCTCTTTTACATTCTCTTTTCTATATTCCTTTATATATATTTGTACTTTATGTATGACATAATAAACAAATTCAATTGCACAACAATGAAAATCAACTGTACATTAAAGACAATTTGTACAAACATAGCAAAAATAGAAAAAAAAATAAAAGTATTAAGTTCTATATTAACTTTTTGCATTATTATAAATGTAAAGGATACGTGTATTGTTTCCATGTCGACAAGTAATATACACACAGGCAGCCTGGTTATGTACCTGTTTTCTCCCACGTGTCAAATTACGATCTAAAGCCATTTTATAAAATGTCACAGACATGTTGATATCATTCTCGTCTAAGCTAAAATGAAAATTTTAAACTATGAAAATTATTTAAGAAATAAAACTCGTGCAAATATGTGCATACATCATAAAAAGACAAGAAATTTTTACCCTAGCTGCAGACCAAGATGTATTATACCTTTCCTGGCATTTTCTATGGTGTTTTTTCTGGATTCTTTTTCATTGAAGTAACCTGCAAATTAAAAAGATTTTAGCTGAGTTTTATATTGTAATCTTCAAAAGAAGAAAAAGAAAATATTATTTAAATAACTTACGTGCACCAAAGTTTGTAGCACCACCTGTGCTATCATTAGGGACAAAGTATTTAGGCATTATTTTACCCGAAGATGATTCCTCAAAAGTTGGTTGACTAACAATAACTGAATCTTCTAATACAAAACCACATTCCATACAAATAGCATCTCCACGTGCAGGATCGGTCTCAATATTTGTAGACCCACAATTACGACACTTGTTTCCAGACATCTGTTACAATAATATAAATATGTAATAAATTTTTGTTCATTATTTATTGTTTATTTTACTTCATTTAGTACAAAAGATCCATTACAAAAATTTCCAGTAAAAAATACTAACATAAAATAGATCATTTTCTATCTTTATGTATGTCTATTTATTATTTATTATTAAACATGATGTCACAATTAACAGATTATATATATAGTCTCATCAAATTTTATTAATTTTTCCATTAACTCGCATTTTACATTACATTGTTACATTAGAATATATGACCTGGTTAAATTAATTCCAATACACAATACATAAAATTTACAAAATTCATTTTTGTAAACAAATTTTGTAACATAGAAACCTAATATTTATTAAACATGAGCATTATAAAAATGTACATTACATTATTGTATTTTACATACCTTTGATAATTGTATTTATCAATACACAACAAACTTATGTTTCTTGACACGTGCAACTCTTGAGACATGCAACTGAAAGCTGAAAGCTTCTATTTTTTTTCATAGACATAAAATACATAGACGGATCCGCTGATCTTATAGCGTTTTCGAATGAACGGTTAATCTAGAAATCCTTAAGTGCCGGTCCACAATAGATGATTTAAGCCCTAAGCCTTAAGAAATTGACCAATCACAATCAAGTATGAAGAGAATACTCGACTGTGATTAGTCAATTTCTTAAGGCTTAGGGCTTAAATCACCTATTGTAGACCGGCACTAAACAAAGATCGGACAACGTGCCGTCGTGGGGTGAAACCGGATATGACGTTTTTGATGGCGGTTTATTTTGATTGTTGAATAAGACAAGAATACGATATATATTTTTCGTTTGACGTGAGTAATGAATATTAAAACACGTATTAAAAAAGATTACGAACAAATATATTTCATCAGTTTTCCTGTATTAATATCAACTAATAATATGAATTGACTATTAAAAAATATATTGTTATAATTACTATTATAGGTTATATTATTATTATTATTGCTATATTATTACTATATTATTATCATTATTATTACGTTATTTTATATTATACATTATGTATTATTATAAATATAATTTATGTCTTTGACGGACAATTATGGCTAGCTATAGACGGTCGGTTAGGTTAGCTATATATCTTTCTCTCTCACTTATATATATCTTTCTCTCTCACACTTCTGGTTTTACCACAGGCGACGGAGCCAATCAGAGATCGTTAACGGTCTGTCCGATCTCTGTTTAAGGACCTCTAGTATATAAGGGAGTTAGCGGTCTAGTATGAAGTATTATATAGAAGTCTGTGGTCAAAAATATATTTTTGGGGATTTTGGCGGAATTTTGACTGTTTTTTGGAGCTTCGTAAAGTTAGCCGGACTACTTTAACTTTTTAATAATTAAAATTATCTAATCGTTTGGTGGTCGTTTGGTGATGATTGGTAGCTTAATTAAAACGTTTGGTAGTCAACCGTTTTTTTTAAATTAAATAATTAAAATATTGGTGTAAAGTTAGCCGGACATTTTTAATTTTTAATCTAATTGATTAAATCAGGGCTTATTCGATGCAGAATCGTTAAGTGGTCACAAATCCTTTATTTACAACGTTTGGTGGTCCATAATTTATCCAAAAAGTATAAAAAGCCATGTGCGGTTAGGTAGTGGGGATGGCTAACTGGAAGCTGTAAAATTAGCCGAACAGATATATTATTTACCAAGCAATTTTGTTCAAATTGATCTTAATTGAAAGACAATCGTTTGGTGGTGATTGGTAGTCTAATTACAACGTTTGGTAGTTAATTATTAGGCTACTACGATTATAAAACCATGTGCGCTGATTTTGCGCCTGCGCGTGCCTTCGTCGTGTAAAGGTGCCTTTACATGGCAGCATTAAGCGTCGAGCGTCTGCGTAGAAAAATGCGCAGAATGTAAAAAAGATAGATTCTAGGCTGAAATTAGATTCTGAGCAATTTTCTAAGCAAACGCTCGACGCTTAACGCTGCCATGTAAAGGTACCTTAATGGCTCTCGCAGACCAGCGCGTTGACGCGACGCGCGATATCCAATAAGAGATCTGATTTTCGGAAAAAATAAAGCTCTCATTGGATATCGCGCGTATAGCCATAATGCTGATATTACATTCAGACGAAATGTTTGTGGATTGGCAATCAGATGGAGAATTCGGAGAATCTCGATAGAGACTCTAGAAATTCTCTATTCGATAATCAATCGTTTTGCAAAAAACTATTGGAAATATGTTTTTGAGTGAAAATGATAAATTTTACGTTTTTTGTAAATATTTCGAAAACTACTAATTTTAAAAGGGGAGCAATTGTGGATTCTGACGGAGCAATTAAGGAGCAATTGTTTGAGCTATAAATTATTAAAAAATATGAACTTCCAGCGCCAACTTATTTCCGGTGTGTACGACCTAGAAAAAGCGTTACACGAAAAACGGCAGCGTGGCGACTCTCATTCTTCTCTCTGATAATAGTCTAGTATACACCGATATACTTTAAGCCATTTCATTCTCTAGAGGAGTGCCGCTTGATTCTTTTCTTCTACCCGTATATATTATTTATGGGACGTGTATATATTATGTATGTGTTATGTATTTAAGCGAGGAGCACACACTTTTGCATAAGCGCATAATTATAAAGCCCGTATCAGATTACGCATTCTCCACGCTTTATTTTTTCCGAAAAGCAGAGCTCTCATTGGATATCGCGTGTCGCGTCATCGCGCTGCGAGAGCCATTAAGGTGCCATTACATGGCAGCGTTAAGCGTCGAGCGTCTGCGTAGAAAATTGCGCAGAATCTAATTTCAGCCTAGACTCTATCTCTTTTAAATTCTGAGCATTTTTCTGCGCAGACGCTCGACGCTTAATGCTGCCATGTAAAGATACCTTTACACGACGAAGGCATGCGCAGACGCGGGATCAGCGCACATGGTTTTATAATCGTAGTAGCCTAATAATTAACTACCAAACGTTGTAATTAGACTACCAATCACCACCAAACGATTGTCTTTCAATTAAGACCAATTTGAACAAAACTGGTTGGTAAATAATATATTTGTTCGGCTAACTTTACAGCTTCCAGTTAGCCATCCCCACTACCTAACCGCACATGGTTTTTTTTACTTTTTGGATAAATTATGGACCACCAAACGTTGTAAATAAAGGATTTGTGACCACTTAACGATTCTGCATCGAATAAGCTCTGATTTAGGGCCAATTTCACCAAGCTCGGTTAGATTAACCGACGGTTAAAATTAGCAGGGTTCCAACTGAAATGATAAGAATGCTTGGTTTTCCTTCACCTCTATTTTCTGTTGGCCACCCTGCTAATTTTAACCGTCGGTTAACCTAACCGAACTTGGTGAAATTGGCCCTTAAAAATTAAAGATGTCCGGCTAAAGCCCAGTGCCCACGGAGCGTGATTTGAAGCTGTTTTTGTTGCGTGGAGCTAAGCCATGCGTGCTGCTAAGTTCGTTCTGTGGCGAGAAATGTAACTCGCGGCGTGTTGCGTGGCGGGCTCGGCGCGATTGACCACCAAACGTTTTAATTAGGCTACCAATCATCACCAAATGGCCACCAAACGATTAGATAATTTTAATTATTAAAAAGTTAAAGTGGTCCGGCTAACTTTACGGAGCCGTTCTTTGGGAGAAATTTTTATAATGGTTGGCAACACTGTTTTTCGCGCATGTGCATGGAAACTATATCTTGATTTTCGGCTACTGTCATAATTGGTTAAACTGTGATCTTGTGTTCTTTTTGTACTATTTTGTATCAAATTAAAAAATAAAGTGATTTATATTTGAACGTTAAAATGCCGTGCGAGATGATAACTTTGCAGCTTGGCCAATGCGGCAATCAAAGTATTATATGTTATATTTCTATGGATATATTCTTTTCATGTGTTAAAATTTTTTTACATAAATGTACTATAATTTGCAAACAATGGCAAAACAAATACATTATGAAAAAATAATGAATATTTGGCTACAGAGAGAATATTCGAAACATTTATATAAAATCTTATAATAAGACTTATATATATATTTTCTTATAATAAAACTTATATATTATCTTTCATACATTTCTTTTATTTCTAGTTGGATTTGAGTTTTGGAAGAGATTATGTGCAGAACATGGAATTAGCCCAGAAGGAATCTTGGAAGATTATGCAATAGATGGAACAGACAGAAAGGATGTTTTTTTTTATCAGTCAGATGATGAGCATTATATACCACGAGCTGTGTTATTAGATTTGGAACCTAGAGTAATTCACACTATTATGAATTCTCCATATTCAAAGGTAATACACATTATTTTCATGTAATATTCTTGTTTTTATATAGTTTTATAGTTATTTTATAATTGACAAAAAGAAAATAAATAAGAATAAAAATGTTTAATTGTTTCAGTTGTATAATCCTGAAAATATCTATTTATCAAAACATGGTGGTGGTGCTGGAAATAACTGGGCGTCAGGGTACCATCAGGGTGAAAAATTACAGGAAGAAATTTTTGATATACTGGATAGAGAAGCTGATGGCAGTGACAGCTTGGAAGTAATCATCTTTGTTCTTTTATATTTTACTAATGACATACAGGGTGTTTCAAAGTTAAATGATCAAACTTCACCAGTTCTATGAGTAGAAATAAGGAAAAAATGTAATATAAACATAGATCCAGAAATACTTTAAAAATGTTATTAACAAGAAAACAAACAGAATAGTTAATTCACTGTTATATCACGATATAAGAGTAGATCAGTGATATTTATCTGTTAATTCTGGCTGTTTATTATTTGAAAGATCACCAGATCTTACACTGCTAGATTTGTATCTGTGAGGAAATTAGAAAACAATAGTGTACTGAACAAGAGTTGATTCATGATACGAACTGATAGAATCAATGATGCATTCACTAAACTAAAGCAAGATAGATATGAGATACTCATAGTTTTAAATTCATTCTCCTAATAATATCAATGTTGTATAAGAAACGGGGGATGACATTTAAAAATGCAAAATCAAACGATCTTTTTTTTTCAATTTAACATGATAGTAAAATGTTTCTAGATTTATAATTATATAACATTCTTTTTTTTATATTTCTACTCGTAGAACATATTGGTGAAGATTAATCGTTTAACTTTAAAACACCATGTAGGATTTTAATCTCATGTCTATAATGCATATGAAAAACATATGAAATATTAAACTCTTGTCATATAGTTATAATGTTTATTATAATTTAAAAAAAAGTATTGGAATTATAGGGTTTTGTTCTGTGCCATTCAATAGCAGGAGGTACAGGTTCTGGTATGGGATCTTTCATGTTAGAATCTCTTGCTGATAGATTTCCTAAGAAATTAATTGAGACATATAGTGTCTTTCCAAATCAAGATGAGATAAGGTAAATATATCTATCTACTAACAATAAGAAAAGTATCTCTTTTAAATGTTTACATACTTCAAATTTTTGTTATAGTGATGTTGTAGTACAGCCATATAATTCATTGTTAACTTTAAAAAGGCTGACTCAATGCGCAGATTGTGTGGTGGTTTTAGATAATACTGCTCTGAATAGAATTGCTTCAGATAGATTACATATTCAGAATCCTAGCTTCACACAAATAAATAAACTTGTTTCGACAATAATGTCTGTCAGTACAACCACTTTGAGATATCCTTCATATATGAATAATGATTTAGTTGGTTTGATTGCACCACTCATTCCAACTCCTCGCTTACATTTCCTAATGACTGGATACACTCCACTTACAACTGATCAAGAGGTAACTAATGATCAAAGTTCATAATTTATCATCTCTTATGGTTGGCTTACTGATAGATAGCATGTCAAATGAAAATATTACTATGACATGTGTTGCAATTAGTAATCTAGTATCTAAAACATTGCTATTTTCGCTCAATGATAAGTGTCTACAATGGGGAAATCAACCATAAGAGACGATGACCTTTGTTAATGATTTATATGGATAAGTTTTTTGCTAATTATACACATTGAAATTATAACATATATACACACACTTGTGTATGTATCGTATATTCAATATTCTCATTGTATATTTATCCAAGTTCAATATCATTTAAATTTTAAATTGTGTCATATATAATTATCATATACAATAGAAACTACTTTTTATAGCTATACATTGTCAACTATGACTGAATTTTGTATAAAACAAATATTGTTTAAAAACAGGGCGCATCTGTAAGGAAAACATCTGTTTTGGATGTAATGCGACGATTGCTGCAACCAAAAAATATGATGGTTTCTACAGCATTAGATAGAAATGCATCTCATTGTTATATATCTATCTTAAACATAATTCAGGTAAAATTTCTTAAAAGCGATATTATGTTTATAATTATAATTATTTCTTGAAATTTACTTAAGAATCAGATATACAAGTTATAAAACACATGATACAAAAGATTAATAATGTATTTTAGGGTGAAATAGATCCAACACAAGTGCATAAATCTTTACAAAGGATTAGAGAACGAAAACTTGCACAGTTTATTCCCTGGGGTCCAGCAAGTATACAAGTAGCTCTTTCAAGAAAATCTCCTTATATACAAAGTACACATCGCGTTTCTGGTTTGATGTTAGCCAATCATACTAATATATCATCGGTGAGTATTTCATGGCCATTCAATATTACACAGTCATTAAAATTGATTAGCCAATATGTTACAACATCGATACTTAAATGTGCTGATAAATAAATAAATAAATAAATAAATAAATATATATATATATATATTTTTAGCTTTTCGACAGAGCTTTACAACAATATGACAAACTGCGTAAGCGAGAGGCGTTTCTGGAACAATTTCGCAAAGAAAAAATGTTTGAAGATAATCTCGACGAATTAGATAATTCGCGAGAAATTGTAGAATATTTAGTGAAAGAGTATCAGGCTGCAACTCGACTCGATTATCTTAGTTGGAATCCAAGCAAGACAGATGCATAAAATATTTAGCATATAACAAATAACAAACCAAATGTGTGAGTGACCAATTTTTTATTTTTAATAATTCCATTTATAAGTTTTTCCTGATATTTTAATATTTCATTTGTTTCATAGGTAACAGTAGATGTTTTCTAAAATTCCATTACAATAGTAATCTCAGAAAAAAATATTTAACTTTTTTTAAAAAATAAGCAATGTGGAAATTCCTTCTATAGTTTTAAAATTACGAAGTTTTTATTTGAATGGCAGTGAATTTTATGAATTTTGTTTAATGCTTTACTTGTTTACTTAATGCACATTGCATGTTCCAGTTTTTTATATTTTTCAGTTGTTTGCTTTGTCTTGATCTGAATCTTTATATGATTAATAATTCCTTTTTTTTACTCTGGTGCATAACGAAGACAGGAAGGAGGAAGGGTAGCAATTGTAATAAAGCCTGTATGCCCAGGTAATGATTGAGCATGAATGACTGTAAGGAGTTTTTCTTCCTGTTTCCTCTCTCTCCTTTCATTCTTCTCAGTCATGTCCTCATTTTTGTGCTGTAATTGTGAACAATTATATATTTTGTATTTTACACACTATAATATGCTAATTTTATTAAAAATTTTTTTTCCAATGTTTTTAAAAAAATTGCATCTGTTTTAGTTGTCAAAAGAAAAATAAAAAATCATATAAGGAAAATATTTAAAACAGGATTTAGTATCCAAAAATGTTTTATATTTTGTACATTGAGATATACTAGTTTTCAATACTAAATAGAACTATTTCATCTTTTGTTTCAATTAAAAACTGATATTCAATAAATAATAAAATGCACAAACCTTGTACTTCAAACATTCAAAATCTAATATTGGCAAAGATTTGTATTGAACATTCATTTCTCTTTGCAAACATTCATATGTATTTAATTCTATGAATCCCTCACAAATAAGTTTGGCACAAGTACGTTGAACCTGCTCAATGCAAGGAGAAAAAAAACACAGTTTTCCTCCTATTGGATAACAATCATTGTCATATATTATATATAATACAGAACATAATTTTTGCACAATGCATATATATATATATATAGTATGTCTTTAAATATATTTATGTATTGTAATTTTAACTGCTATCATATGCATATATTTCTGTATAAATATTAAAATACTTTTGTCATAAGAAAATATTTATTATTATATATTGATTGTTTTTCCACAAATAATTAAATTAAAAAAAAGTCTTACCTATTTGTTTTAAAGCAACAGTAGCATGTTCTATAGCTAACCATGGATGTGGAAGATCCAAAAAAACTGCATCAACTTTGTGTTTCAGCTCTTCTCCAAACCCTTCTAAGCAAACATCCCTTTTTTTTAAAGTTACGAAATCACTCAGTCCATGTCTATCAAATTCCATGCTAGCAATAGACACACGCTGCTCATGAAAATCAAAAGTATATAAATGACCATTTGGACGTATTACTCGAATTAGAGAATGCGATAATGAGCCACTACCAGTGCCTAAAATTGATTATGACAAAGATTATAAGATTTATTTCAATTAATATTATAACATACCTGTTTCGATGATTATACTGCCTGGTTTAAGTTCCATTAAATGTATAATGAGACTTATATCTGGACTATAAATAATCTGTGTTCTATGTGGCAATGTCATTGTCCAGAGCTCTGGTGTTGGTTGTAACACATACGCCCACCCTCTAGTTAGCTCTATTTTTGAACCGTACTTTTGTCCGACGAGCGAGATGACTTTCAATGCACCATATGTAGTTTGGAACACATTATCCACGAACTCTCCTTTCTTGCTAAAAATTTTTGCTTTTACTTCCAAAGAATGCATGTTGTTTGGATTCAAATATAAAATAACAACGTCTCCCTCTTCTATAACTTTCTTGGTTTTATTGAAACTCATTTTTCTCACAAATATCGAATTAAATTTTATTTATATTTAATGATCGACAGGAATGATGGGCAAATTCCGAATAGAAAAAAATCGCGATATAAACACAAGGTGCGAATCTCAGAGTAAAGAATAAGAGATGTGAGCATATCGGTAGTGGAGGTGGAGGTAGATTTATCGCGAACGGAAGTACGTCACGCAGCCATCTTGAGCGTGCACTTTTTTGACGTATCAGCGCTGCTTGTAACTAGAGTCCTAGATTATCAGAGAGGCGCCAACTTGTTCCACTTTCTGATTGGTCGATTAAAATAGCCGCCATGTTAGAAACGTCACACGTACAGTCTGAGGGTGCAAACCCATGCAGCGGAATAGCGTAACGCGGAACGAAAGCGGAACCAATCACGAACGTTCCGCAATTTCGTTCCGTTTTCAGTAGTTTCTAGCGGAATAGGTTTCGCAGATTGCGTAATGTACATACACATCTATACATATACACATGGTAGTAAAAGCTAACTTCAAAATTTTCCTTTATCTCTCAAAAATAAGAAATAACTTGTAATAATTAATAATTTATCTCTGTTTCTGTACTGACCACGTTGCTCTACGCTGCCAATTTAACAAAGTATATGTGTACATACATACAGTTCCGTCATTTTCGTTACGTGGATTTCAAGTCCCTACATCCCCATGGAGCGGAATGAGCGCAAGCAGAACAAGCAGAACGTCTCTAAAATGACTTTTAAATATTGTTTTTATCGGTCGTTCTTTATTATCGTGTACATAAATATTGAAATGAATGCGTTCTTATTGGAAATATTGATTAAAAATGTTAAATAAGTTAAATAAGTTTCAACGCAGTTTTAACCCTTTTGAAATAATGACTCGTGATTGGTTGCGCATTGGTCCGCGGTGCGCTCATTACGCTCCATGGGGATGTAAGGACTTGAAATCCACGTTGCAAAAACTGCGGAACGCTCGTGATTGGTTCCGCTCTCGTTCCGCGTTACGCTATTCCGCTGCATGGGTTCGCACCCTCGTCATTTTTGTTACGTGGATTTCAAATTCAAATCCCTACATGGAGCGGAATGAGCGCAAGCAGAACGAGCAGAATGTCTCTAAAATGACTTTTAAATATTGTTTTATCGGTCGTTTTTTATTATCATGTACATAAATATTGAAATAAATGCGTTCTTATTGGAAATATTGATTAAAAATGTTAAATAAGTTAAATAAGTTTCAACGCAGTTTTAACCCTTTTGAAATAATGACTCGTGATTGGTTGCGCATTGGTCCGCGATGTGCTCGTTACGCTCCATGGGGATGTAGGGACTTAGAATCCATGTAACGGAAACTAAAAGTAAGATATGAATATGTTATTAATTTCTTTATTCTGATTGGTCAAATTTCAATCTTAAATCTTGAATCTCAATCTTCAATGCGTAGTCTGATACGGGCTTAAGGACCGGCAGAATTAATTTAACTGTTTAGAATACGTATCAACTGATCTATTTATTTCTTTTTTAAATTTCATTCATTTTATTCATTATTCCAAAGCAGTATCGTATATGTGTGAGATAACCGGAAAGTTGGAAACACTTAAAAAAAAAAGTGCTCTCCTGCTTCTTGCTCCATGTTTCATGCTCCATACCTCATTTTATTGTTAGCTTAGATTAGATTAGGTGAATTTTATAATATTCTTCTAAAGAAAAAAGAAGGAAAATGGCTACCAGGGCCTAACATAGAGAACCGTGAAAAATGGAAGGGAAGGAAGAGGGGAACAGGAGGAGGAGGAAGAGTTCACATTTTTATAAATTAATAGTTTAATCCTGTTATGGATGGTCATAAAAATATAAAATCAAGGGGATTAAAAATAAAATCAAGGGGATTTAAAAGAATAATATGTTTATAATTAGCTTCAGGTTTTTTTGTGAAACTGAGAATGCGACAGCCGAAAAACACGGTCCATTAAGCAAAAAATGACGCCCTTTTTATGACATGTGGGATGTAATTCATATTTATAAATGTTACGAACTTTTTGTAATATGAAAGTATAAAATTATAACAATTATGCATTAGCGATTGTAGAATTATTTCACAATATAATTTCACGTAGTAGTTATATTATAATGTGCAAATTTTTCTGAGGTATCTAATTGAATGACCATGACAAGATATGTTACTACCGCTCCAGCAATCTATAAGAAAACTTTATCAAGATAGATCCTGTATCAATAATATAAAAAGTTAAATAAAGACAAATTTGTAAATAATCGATTAGAAAAGACATAGAAAAGATGCAAACCTTGACCTTGATATATACACAGTGCAACTCTAATAGCGTACTATATGTATATTTCTTCCATACGTGTTAAACCATTGAGCTCTATAGCTCTCTTCTCCTCTCTCTAGAGCAAAATTTCACACATTGACAATCTATATATCTAAATCTTATTTTACACAGTCTTTTTTTTATTAATAGCTTTTTAATAAACAACAAGTTATAAAATCTTTCAAATGCTACTCAGGATCATGACTTTTGATAATATATATCAAGATCAAGGTTATTGAGGCTGGATCTCCTAATCGATATATTTACCATAAATTACTTACGGAACATATAAGGGACATATTGATTTCATACAATCCAAAGGCAGTAAATATCAAATCTTCGTGGATCAATTGAAGTGAAAACTGTATCACCTGAATAACAAAATTTATATATAACAAAGTTACAAAGTAACGAGGAGAGTATTTAACAATTTGTTGTTGGTCAAATTTGTGCATAAAAGTGATCTTACTTCAGCCTGCAATGACTTATGTTCCAGATAAACATCGTGCAAAATTATTCCCATTTGCTTGAACTGCGTAAATACACAATAGGATTATATACACACATACACATACACATGGTGTTCGATAGTAACTGTATCACCTCTCTGTGCAAGAATAGCGGATTGATTAATCTAATAAGTAGGAAAGTTCTCTATCTCTCTATCGCTTTGCGAGTTTCACAATAATTAATAAGAAATTAATGTTAAAAAATCGGTCAATCTATGCGAGTATAAGCGCACGTGGCAAAAAGAGAGAAAATACACGCGGAAATTTAGTATTACGCTTAGCTCGTACGTAGCTGTTGCCAAAGCGCTCCTAACAACCAATGTAATAGAGAGCTGTCTCTTCTCGCCACGTGCTTATACTCGCACGGATTTGCTGATTTTTTAAAATTAATTTTTCACTAATTAGTGCGAAAATCGTAAAACAGTAGAGGACTTTTCTACTCGGTTTAACCCGCTCTATCTGTACGATATATGATACAAGTATTACCGGACATCCTGTATATATAAAAAATTATATTATATTACATATATTTTTACGTTAATTCAATACTCAACTTCGTTTCTAGATCGTTGACAAACATAACTGATATATAAAGATCGAAAAGCATAGCAGAATATGAAGATCATATGAAAAGTTAATATCTCGGTATTGCCACTATCTGCCTTCATATTACGATACATACCAAACAGAAGAAGAATTATAGCATTCAAGCATATGGCAGAAATGATCAAAAGCTGCAGATTAAAATTTGTATTGATCTGGAAATAAAAATATACATTTATTCTCATGAGAATTACCGAATTAAAAAAAGAAACTTCATTTATAATATAATATAGTTTTCTTATGATATATTATATACAATATATGATAATATATACAATATAATTATATACAATCTTTATTTAGGTTACGATATAATCACTAAATTACAGATAATATATAATTATGTAACTACCTTTGTTGCCAAAATATATAAGCCATGATGAATATGTTGAATCAAACGGAGTTTGGTGATTACAGTGTAATTGCATTTATTACACATGTTCAAATTTGCTATAAAGTCGACATAAGAAATCCATAGGTTCTCTCTCGAATGTTGTATTGCAATCTTGTTTAATTCACGAAACCTTAAAAATATATCATTGATATAATGGGTAAATAATCCATCCATAAATAGCAGGCAGACTATGCAATACCAGGATTGCAGATAATAGTATATCAATTGATATGAATTATTTGTGATTATATCGTAAGCATATTTTATCATGATAAATAATGCCACTATCATTATCGCAGCATCCTGCAGATGTGCGAGGAAGATATCTTTTTTCGAGAATCTTGCGCCATACGATCTGAAATATAAAACAATATGAGTACAACATATATAAAGAAACTAAATATACAATCAGAATCTATGATTCGTATTTCTATCTTTATACAGTGTTGCATCCATAAACATAGTATAAATCGTAGACATATGGTATAAATAAGATTAAACATTTATATAGTTTTTCTCTAGAAACTGTAAATTAATGCACAAGCTATACAACAAAGAGGCATCTCTTGTTTCAATCAATGTTGAGTACAGTGTACCTCATCGGTTTTGCTGCTGATCGCTATTTTAAAGAAAGAGAAGAGAATACTCAAAGATGTGTGACTTTGTCTAATAAATTTTCTGTCAACTAATCGGCTTTATTTTACATATTGAATGCTTGGTCTATGGTCTCAATAAACGAAACATTGCCTATTTTTCTTTAGAAGAAGGTGATACCAGCAAACGTTAGGACTTCAATAGAATAAAAAATGTACGGGCATTCAGTAATGTCCCGTCTATTTATACTACATTTATGATTTTGCATCTAACGTAAAATATGACTGTCCGATTCTGAATCTTCTTTGTCAATAACACTAGTTTACAAACTTTTTTTAATGCCAAGAATGGAATCAACTTTTTTCAATGTATTTTAGGGCGCTGAATTTGAATCTGCCGCCAGAAAAATTCCATCGGATCAAATTTTTTAGATATAGCAAGCTAGCAGCACTGCGATTTGCCTTACAATTTCATTGTATTTTTGTTTGTTCACAAAAATATTGTACGGACATGTAACAAAAATTTAATGCTCAACACTTCTAATGTGTTTTCTAAATTCAATAAAATATTTGCTATGTATCGTAAAAATGACTTTTCTTATATCTCGAAAATCGGATAGAAATTTTTTTATAACAGATTCATGCTCATTATCAGCGTCGAAAATTATCCTAGAAACAGAGTGTTCAAAAAATGCACCCGGCACAAAATCTTGTAAACTAATGTAATTAACGGGATTCCCCAAAATTAATGATTAAATTTCAACAAGAATATATACTCTTATCTAAACACAATAATTCGAAATATTATCAACCCATGAAAAATGGGCGGTAAGACTTTCGTATCCGACCCAATCTGATTTTGATGAAATTTTATAAGAACTTAGCACTTACTAGGTGTAATCGAATGCCACAAGAGCAAATGTGCAGAAATATCTAGTTTTCAAGATATTTAAATTTTAATTATGTGGCTAAATAAACAATTTTTAAGATTTCCATATAAAAACACAAAGATTATAATTCAAAAATATTTTGCTGAGATGTTTTATTTTATAAGTTAATGTTACAAGATGTGAATACACACACACACACACACACACATGTGCATACACACGCACTACCATCTGCGTCTGGCTCTTAATTGCCCACGAATATTCAATGTTGTAAAAACGAAATGTTGTGCAAAATAATTGTTTTAATTTCCTACAGAGAAATGATATAAATATTGCGCCAACTAATAAAAATAAAACTTGATTTTTAAGTATAAACATTTTAACCAACAAAACTGTAGTATAAAATAGTTATAATTTCCTAAAATAACAATATCAAAATATAAAAATTTATTCAAAAATTAAATATTAAAAATTAATAAAAAAAATAAAAAATAAAAGTTTTAATTAAAAAAAAACTTGACATTGTCAATTTCATTAGCATATTATTCAGCTTAGCAGCACCAAGTTTTTTAAATTAAAACTTTTATTTTTTTATTTTGCATTAATTTTCAATGTCTAATTCGTGAATAAATTTTTAAATTTTGATATTGTTATTTGTAGAAAATTAAAATTATTTTGTATTATAGTTTTTTTTTGGTTAAAATGTTTCTATTTAAAAAAAGAAATAATAAATTAGCATAAGTTTTATTCTTAGTTAAAGAGCACAATTTTTTATATTATTTTTTGTAGGAAATTAGAACTATTTTGCACAGATTAAAATGACACTATTTTGTAAAACAGTTTTTTACAATAATATACATTTTTCACAACTGATGCGTGTACTTGGCGTCTTTTTATCTTTTTTTAAATTAACTTTACACAGATGACAGATGACTTTACACAGATACACATTACTTAATAAAGAAAAGTCCTCACTCAAACATAGAGTCTATGATGAACATCTCTTGATGAGGAAAAGCGAATTGTTTTGGACGAAATACAGATGTACCCATCGTTGTCAGCACTAAGAGGATGTATAGAATGTACTCCAACGTTACCATGAACTTTCTGATAAGGTGTTCTTCGCAATATTCAGTGCAAACATCGTGCCAAGACATCTGACTTAACATGAAGAATAATATCATAAGTGTGAAACTGTATAATCTGCCCACATAACCCGACAAATTGATTCCCAAAAGACGCAAAGTCTTTTCAAGAGATTGGCCTGTAGAAGTTGGAAGTTGCCACTTTTTTGGAACTCTCATCATCAGGGCATTAGAATTCTCTAAAAATAACTTATTCTTTGACAATCTTAAAAAAGTCAGAAATATTAATTTATGATTAATATTCGCCGAATGTACTTATCCTAATATTACAGAAACAATTATGTTTATCACATCTAGTATTCGTATAACTATGAGCGTATTAGAAATCATACTGATTCACACAGACGGCTTATGATTTTATCGTTACCTTTAATCAGAGTATTTTATTGATCGTCGAAGAAAAAAAGAACATCTACTGTTATAAAAATAGCGCTAATGCAACATTTACATAATATCTAATTGTTTACGTCGTTGTAATATAACTTGGGCAAAAATTGTCCATATATAATCATATATATATAAGTATATATAATTATATACATAAAATATATTTATGTACATATTCTCTCTTTCTTAAATATACACGCGCGCACGTGAGTGTATGTATGTATGTATATACATATATACAGGGTGTCCTAAAACTACGATACTTCCTCTTAATAGTAGATTCCTTAGAACATTTCAAGACGAAAATTTTAATACAAAAATGTCGAGGCTATAATAGTTTTTAAACAGGAAGCGATTATATTTTACGAATGGCAAGGCTGAGATTTCGCGCGCTCAGGCACGGCGAAATAGTAGACACCTTCATGATAACATTAATCGACCACTTTGACAGCTGAAGTTAAAACATGTCGCAAATTTTTACTTAAATCATTTTTGAGATGCCTTCTTGCATACATTATTCGTAAAATGAATGTACTAATGCAATGCGTAGAGAAGCGGGAAAACATATAATGACAATACTATTGTAAATTTATACGATAATCATAATATCATAAAAAAGCGCTCCATTCATAAAAGCACTTTTTTCACTTGTCATTTCGACGTGCCTGAGCACGCAAAATTTCAGCCGTCATTCGTAAAATATAATCGCTTCCCGTTTAAAAACTATTATAACCTCGACATTTTTGTATTAGGATTTTCGTCTTGAAATGTTCTAAGTTCTAAGGAATCTGCCATTAAGAGGAAGTACGGTAGTTTTAGGACACCCTGTATATACAGAGTAAAAAATATCGGGACCCTAAAATCGAAGGGAATAGATTTTGAAGGAAAATATTAAATACAAAAGTAGGAATATCAAAAGAGCTATCTGACTGGTCAACTAGATCTTGGGCTCGGGGTCTAATTTGGGCCAAATAAGGCCCAAGTCGATTTTTTTCAAGTAGGGACTCATATTTTTTATCGCGGATTTAGGTTCAGAATATGTTTTTACATCTGACACAGCCGACAAACATTTGGGTCCAAGGCCCCTTTTAGGCCCAATGGGACCCAAATCAAGTTTTTCGATAAAAATTCTTCTTTTTCGCATGTCGATGTCTAAGACGATTTTTTACTTAAAAGAAGGCAAATTAGATTTTGGAACGCAAGGTCCCGCGAAATATCGTGGGCGACGTCTACCCTGCGTTATGGTCAACTTCTGACTCATGCATTAGAGATTGATATATGTCATGTTGCTATTTGATCATAATACTCAATTTGAAGTTGGCTATATCGGAGGGCCGAAAATGAGAAGATAGACATCGCTCGCGATATTTCGAATTCATAAAACTCGTATAATATGTAAAATATTTACATTATAGAAAGTGGGCCAAAAGTCTGGATACAGTCGAATATCTCGGAAACAATGCAATTTTGAAAAAAAAGTTTCCGACAAAACTTGTAAGGTTTACAAAGACGCATTGAATGATAATATCTATTTGATCTTTGGTTACCGAGGCGTTACCAAGATCAGGTCAAAGTCTTAATTTTTTAAAATGAAACCCCGTATTTTTCATTACATATTCTTGTAGCTTACCTCGAGAGCTTTTCAAAACACTATAATAAAGTATTTTTTCATTAAGTACTTTTTGAGTTATTTTATATCTTAATCTGACATATTTTGATATAAAAAATAAAATATCTCGTAAAATATTTAGTTTTCGATAATCTTACCGTAATACTTTTATGTACAGAATAATCACGCCGTTTATCGTTACATCCCGCCTCATGTCTATGAACCTTTTTTTATCAAACAATCGGGTCCTTTATACTCATTTTTTAAGAAAGAACAAGCTAGATTTAATAATAAATTCAACCATTTTCTTTTAAAATCCAGGAATAACAAAACTACTAATAGACCGATAGAATACTCTTGTTTTGTTCCAATTTCCGGTTCCCAGGTTTCTAAATTCTCCTTTAAGTCTAATAACATCCTTGAGAATAATGATACAGAAAAATTCGAGAGATTAAGATTAATCCGAATACTTTTAATACTGGACAATCTGTTTTTGACATTAAGGATCATTGGTTTGTTAACTTGTCTTCTGTTTCAATCCCTAATGACAAGCCCTTCTTCAATTAGGTGAAAATTTCAGTCTACCTACCGTAGATTCATCCAAATTAACGACAGAGTTCATAAAGAGCGTTGAGAATAATTTGAGATTTCTCCCGGGCAAGACACAATTGTCAATCAGGAACCGAGTGGCACCTATTTTGAATAAGCTCCTTACATATACACCTCCAAGAAGCATAATAAATCAGACCCTAAAACGTTTATACTTCATTACAAAAGATTTTTTTAATAAGAATCCTAATCTTATTATCACCAGAGCTGATAAAGGAAATGTGTCAGTTGCCCTTGACAGATGCACATACATATATCAACAAAATGGAAGAAATGCTCGGAGACACAGATACATATAAGATCATTACTAAAGATCCCACAAAAAAACTCACAAGTGAACTACGTGTGTTGCTCTCTAGATGGAAAGGGTCCAATTACATTTCAACCAATACTTATAGATCTTTATATGTTAGTGATGGTATTTTACCTAGAGCTTATGGGCTCCCAAAAATTCACAAACGCAATCATCCTTTTAGAATAATTGTATCTTCTCTAAATAGCCCGTTATACCATCTGGCTTCTTATCTTTATCGAATTATGCATGAAAGTTTTCCTAAAGCACGGAGTCACATTCTTAACAGCTTTCAACTTGTTGACAAATTCTCCCACACACCGATTAAAGACAATTTTACTTTAATCTCTCTGGATGCTGTTTCACTTTTTATTAATATTCCTGTTGAGCTTGCGATTGACAGCGTTCATAAAAGATGGGCCTTCATATCTAATAATTGTTCTGTTCCTTATAACGAATTTATTTTAGCCGTTCGTTTTGTGCTTAACTCTACATTCTTTATTTTTAATGGCATCATTTATCAACAAACATTTGGTACTCCGATGGGTTTACCGGTGTCCCCTATCATAGCAGATATCGTCCTACAAGATCTGGAGGAAAAAGCTTTAGCAACATTAAGTTTTACTCCTTCTTTTTATTTGAGATACGTGGACGACATAGCTTTAGCTGCACCATCTTCGACTTTTGAACATATCTTGAGTGTTTTTAATTCTTTCCACTCAAGATTACAATTCACGATGGAGATAGGAGATAATAATAAACTCGATTTCTTGGACGTCATGATAATTTTAAATAATAACCGTTTGAATTTTGACTGGTTTCCCACATTCTCTGGGAGGTACCTTAATTTTCTTTCGCGGCATCCTTTGTGCCAAAAAAGAGATACTATTATAGGCCTGGTTGATAGGGCTTTTTTGCTCTCTTATCTTCGCTGTCATCAAAAAAATTTAAAATTCATCATTAACATCTTACTTAACAATAACTATCCATTAGATTTTATATTTATGACTCTCCAAGATAGACTTAAATATTTATTTATTAATTACAACAAAAACAATCATAGCTTCTCTGAAGGGACTGATGATGCTAGTGAGGGAAAGAAGTTTTTTACGATTCCATATATTCCTTCCATCTTCAAACGATTCAAGAGTGTAACAAAGGATTTGGATGTCAGACTTTCTTACGTTAGTGTAAACAAACTACATCGTTTCATCAAAGTACAAAAAGATCACGTACCTAAACCATTATGCAGCAACATTGTTTATAAAATTGAATGTGATAACTGTGGTGCGTCGTATGTCGGCCAAACGAGCAGACAATTAAAAACGAGAATTAATGAACACCGTAATCACATTCGACATAATACATCTGTTTATTCGGTTATTACTGAACATAGGAACTTGTAAAAACATACAACAAATCATTTAACATTTATTCATTCGTTTACTGTCCTTCATCCTGTACACATTGTTCTTGGAATATTTTATATTATCATCTCAAAGTCTAGTTATTTTATTGTATCGCTTCCACAACTGGTGACCCCGACGTGATCTCGAGCTTTCGAGATTTTACGCACAACACGCGGCAGATCTAAATCAGCCATCCGCGAGTGCTATGAGTCGACGAGATCCGAGTACCGCTGTGATCCTTATGTGAATTGTGCCTTGTGATTTTCGAGTCATCGAATTTATAAGGACAGCGATCTTCTAGACTTCAGGACTTCACATCGCAGAACATTAGCAGAATTTTATGATGCCTTTGGACAGATCTCCAACTGTTACTTCTACAACATCATCATCAGTTCCATTAACGGCAGGGAAACATCATCAACATCTGACGAGTAATTTGCAATCTCTTACCAGTGACGAATAATCGCATCAACAAGGTCAGTCAAATGAGATCCATTCCAATGAATTTCGTCTTATTAAATTACCGAATTTTTGGCATAAGCAGCCTAAATTTTGGTTTGCTCAGTTAGAAAGCGAATTCTTAGTTTATCGGATCTGCTCAGATGATGTTAAATATAGCTCAGTCATATGGCATCTTGATGAGCAAGCTTTGGTAGCTATATCTGAGATTATTGAAAATCCGCCTGAAAAAGACAAATATCTTCATGTAAAAAGCATTCTAATTAATCGATTTACTGATTCTGAGAAAAAACGTCTTCGTCAATTATTAGCTGATATAAAGTTAAATGACAAAAAACCGTCAGAATTGCTACGCGAAATTAAACAATTAGCGGGAGGAACAATTTCAGAAAACGTATTACACTCTATTTGGTTGCAAAGATTACCTTCTCAAGTTCAAGCCACTTTAGCAGTTGTTGAAAATTGCCCGTTAATCAAGCTCGCTGAACTAGCCGATAAGATTATGGATCGCGAAACTAAGCTTCAAATAGCGACAATAGCTTCCTTGGCAGAGAAAAATACTTCAAATCTTGCTGATCTTGAACGTAGAATCGCAGCTCTCGAAGTAAAACGCGTGTGTAGTAGATCTAAATTCAGATATAAAGAAAAGAGAAGATTCAGATTGTCTTCAAGAAACAAAACGGATAAAAATAACAAAAAAATTTGCTTTTATCATAAAAAATTTGGTGCAAAAGCACATAAATGTACAATACCTTGCGACATGTTTAAATCCATTTTTAAAAAGCAGGAAAACTAGCTCCACCGTTAAGTTGTGAGACGGCTGACCATGATTCACCTAACAATCGCCTCATTGTATCTGATAAGTCTTCAGGGCTTAATTTTCTTGTTGATACAGGAGCTGACATTTCTCTAATTCCAAAATGGTTTGTATCAAAAGCTCAAGTTTCTTCCTTCAAACTTCACGCAGCTAACGGAACCAGGATTAATACCTACGGTATAAAAACATTAACTTTAAATCTTGGTTTGCGAAGAGTCTTTAAATGGAAATTTTGTATTGCTGATATTTAGAGACCTATATTAGATGCAGATTTTTTAAATCACTATGGAATTTTAGTTGACATTAAAAATAAACGACTTCTTGATAGTGTTACCAGTCTTTCATTTAAAGGAAAACTATCTAAAGTCTATCACTTAACGATTTGCACTACATCTCCGGACTTACCTTTCCATAAGATTCTCGCTGAGTTTCCTGAACTAACTCGTTTTGCTCTTATATCCACAACCAAGATTCATCAAATTGAACATCATATTATTACAAAAGGACCACCAATTGCTTCAACTCCTCGCTTGTCATCAGAAAAATTAAAATTTGCAAGAGACGAATTTAATTTTATGGTGGAACAAGGAATTTGTCGACCATCAAGCAGCACCTGGGCAGCTCCACTTCACATGATTCCCAAAAACCGACTAAACTCATGGAGACTTTGCGGTGACTATTGGGCTTTAAATGCAGCCATTATTCCAGATCTCCGCTTCCTCATATTCAGGATTTCACTGCTGATCTACACTTATTATATTTAAATAGAAATATAAATTTAATATTTTCACATTTAAGAAACAAAGTTTATTTTTGTTTTAATCGCGCGGAGAAGTTTTGTGGAAATCAATTTATTTATTTTATTTGTCAGCAATAACAGATGACAGATCAGTACGCGTGTAAATGTAGTTACGAGCCTGAGGGCGCGAATTCTACGCCAATATTATTGGCAAACTTTGATCACTTATAACTCAAAAATTATTGTAGCCTCAATATTTTTCTATTAAGATTTTTTACTCCATTTTTCCTCTAGAATACGCTATTAAAATATTGTACGGAGGTTGTGAGACACTCTGTATATATATATATACAGGGTGGGGCATTTATATTGAGACATCTAAATATCTAAAAAATAAAGCAAGATAGAAAGAAATGTTTCAGACAAAAGTTGTTCGGTCCTAAGGGGGTCATAACATGGTGCCATTAGTTTGACCTTGAAGAGTTAAGTTTCAATTAGTTTGAATTTCTTAAATGGAACATCGGTAAATATAGCGAATAAGGGACCAGCCCCAATGACCTTGACCTTGACATATGTTGTCAAGGACATAATTCTGAGTAACTTGTGTGTGTGTGCGTGCTTCCTGTCCATGCATGTACTTTGGTATATCTCAAACTTTTAAGTTTTACTTTTTCCTCTTTCCCCGGCCCATGCGTTCGATTTACTACACATAAATAAATGAATCTGCTAAAAATACATTTTCAAGACATATATTTTCAACTTTCATGTGTACATACACATGATGTTAGCAGGTCGCGGAAATATTGCTTTGTGTTAATATTTGAATACCTTCTCTCAAGACGATTAAATTAGAAGAAAAAGTTACTCACAATTATGTCCTTGATAACATATGTCAAGGTCAAGGTCATTGGGGCTGGGTCTCCTATTCGCTATATTTACCTTTCAAATTATTATTTATTCTATGTAATTGTTACAATAATGATATTGTTCAAAGAAATGTACAAAACAAAAATATTCTTTGCACCATGCACAACGTATAAAAACCATTTTACCACAAATACTGCATTTTGGTATATATTTTTCTTCTTTAAAATAACAAAAATTTATTGGATTATCAAGCTTTTCAGGCCGCGTTGATAAATATCCACTTTTGTACCAATTATATTTAAATACATTTTGAAATCTTGGAGAAGAAAGTTGATTATGTGTTAAACTTTGTAGTTTTATTATATTATTACGTGAATGTAAATTTATGTCATAATTATTTAAAATAATATTATCAGAAAAACATCAATCAAAATTTTTCCAAATTCTAAAACCGAAAACATCTAAAGGTTGTATATAAGCAGTTGTTTTTTTAGTATTGTTAAAATATTTACTTGTTTATCTGCTGGTATAAATTCTTTTAATTGTTCCGGACAATGTCCTGTCCATGAATCAAGCCGGAGTAGACTTTTTTCTTCAGTATTTCGTAAATATACTTCTTCAAACCAGTTTTTGAAATGTTGGCTTGTGAGTTCTCCGGATTTTGAAGCCGCAATATAAACATTAATAGGTCTAAAAAGAGTTTCTTCTACTCGTGGTCCAAATTTTCTACTAGATTCTTTTAGTACTATATACAGAAGTGAAAGAAGATGTCCATCTGCAGATATAATGGGCATAATGGTATAGGTTAATGTTCTTCCAGAATTTATTTCGAAATTAAAGCCGCTTTTATCTGCATTATAAATTGATCCTGTACCGATAACATCAATATGTGGTTTAACCTGTCTCACAAATTCCTCTGCGCTTTGACATATTGTTACATCAGCTGCATGAGAAGATCGCGTTTTAAAACTTGTTATTTTACGTGATACAATGCGATTTGCTTTTTTAAAATTCCATATCCAACAATTTCCTGCTCTAAATGAAGAAAAGTCTATTTGCTCCTTTGCTTGTAATGCCCATTTTCGCAAATCTATGTCGTGAATGATAGATCCTCTATCAATAGCTTCTTGGAATTGCGATAGTACATATTCGGCAATAAATACAAGTTTGTCCCTGTTTGACCCTCCGCGCATTACATTTTCTTCCCATCTATGCAATTGCGAAACAGATTTTACCTAGAAGAAAAGAAGTTTGATATTTAGAAAATCTAATTCAAAAATAAAAAGACTAAATAACCAACGCAGATATGCGAAGTAAATAATGTGCATAAGTCAGAAACATCTTTCTGTTTCCGTTATCGTTTATTACCTACTATTTATACACAACGCACATCTACCTGCTCGTTCAACTCATATTATTTTTCTTATGTTTGTATTAAATTTTACCTTTCTAAAACGATTCTGTACAGCAGTAATAGCTAAATGTCCTTTTTTTCCACTGTTCCAAAATTCAACTGCTTTTCTTTTGTAATTTAAGTTTACATTTCCACCTTCGTTATCCACAATACAAACTTTGTCTTCATAATTATCTTCTTCAGCATCAATATCATACACGTCCACAAATTGTACATCATGCGGTTCCGACGGATCGTCAAAATCAAGTTCCCATTTTGTATTCAATTTCAACATAATCATTTACAGTATTTTTTATTATATTGGAAATGGCATTATGAAGTTCAATTTCATGGCGATTAACAAGTGAGACACCAAAATTTGCAATGTTAAACGTTGTGATTAATAAATTTATAACATTTCCTATATTTATTCATGGCATTTTAACACAAATTGTTGTGTTATCACCAGCACAAG